GAGATTTTGTTGATTTGGTTGATGTGGTTAAGATTAGGTATGTAGATTTTTTTTTTAGATAGTTTAGTATGATTTTGTAAATTTTGTTTTTAGATAGTTTAGGTTAATTATGTAAATTTTGTTTTTGGTTGATAGTTTTTGTTAAATGGTAGGATGAGATCTCGACTTTTTAGTTTTGGTTGATTTGGATCTTAGGTTTTAATTTTAATTTTTATTTGTTGGATCATAGGTTGCTTTTTATTTTTATCTTTTTGGTCGATTTATAAAATTTRGACATTTATAAAATTTATTAGGATTTAAATAAAAATACAAATAAAAAGCTAAGATTTAATAAAATCTTAAAATATATGAATATGACGGTATCCGTAATTTATTTTTTGGTCGGTTTAAATAAAAATACTTGGTGCTTTTTTTATGAATTATATATTTTGTTACTAATTTAATAATTATACTAATTTAATAATTATTAAAACTATTTTGATTTTAGAATTATATTTTTTTAAAAGGACTAAATGGCTTTATTTGTATGAATTTTTTTAATTTAAATTTTTTTCAATAATGTTTATTTAACATTTTTTTATTTATTAAAGGGATTACGGAAATTATATGACGAGTCAATTGGGCCGCTCGACCCAAGAACCAGCGGATAGAGCTAGTGGATCGCAATCCGCTACTCAGAGCGATACTCCTTTTCCACCGATGGAGATGAGTATCGAGGATTTCGTGTCGCASCYGGGACGASACCGACTAACAGTTCTGRACCCTGAGCKACGAGTAAACAAATCTACATGGTAAGTCAATTTTAAATTTTTTAATATTTGTTTTCAAATTAATGAAATCTCATAGTTTTTAACATTTTTGTTTCATATTTTTAGGTTTGGATATTCGCACAATGGCATTTCAAAGTGTTATCTGCGAATGATGTAAGGACTCTTGAAAGAACCCTATCCACAATTCAATCTCATACCAAAAACAGAGAAAGATATTTGGTTTAGACAATTTGCTGTAAGTAAATTTTAAATAATGATTTACGAAGTTTATTTAATTTTAAATACTAACAATTATTTATTTTATTCTTTGTAGCAAGAATTTACCTGGGATAGAAATATAACGCATGAGGTTCGTATGGCGTTTGACAAGGACATTCAGAGATATTATAGTATGCAAATGAACGAGTGAAGCAAAGGTGGCAAGAGGGGAAAAAACCAAGAAATGTGAACGAAGATGTGTTAAAAGGGTTGCAGCTTCATTGGGCAAAACCAGAAACAAGTGCAATATCAACGACAAATTCTAAGAATCGGTTAAGCGATAGAGGTGGAAAAGGAATTGCTAAACACAATTCTGGATCAGTGAGCTTCAAGACTCGTGAACAAAAATATGTAAGTGTTTCAACTTCTTTTTAATTTATTTTTTATTTTTAATAATTTTCTAACTAATCATGTTTTTAAATTAATAATAGTACGAAGAAAATGGTGTGTATCCTTCAAATTTATATATGATGGAGCATATGCACACTAACAAAAAAACAAAACAAATAGACGATCCCATTGCAAGAGAAATTGTTGAGTCTTCGAGGAGGAGGATTGTGGAGTTTGCAGAAAGCCAAAGTTCAACTCCAGAAGACGTATCTATAGAGGTTATCAACAATATCATTAGAGAGGTAATTTAAAAAATTTTAAGTTAAATTTGATTTTTTTATGTTTATTATTAAAATTTACTAATCTTTTTCCATAAAAACTTATAGGAAGCACCCACAAGAAAGGGTCGCATCTATGGATTAGGAAAGCTAACGGGAAGTCAGCGATCATCTTCTTCATCTGCCCGATCTTGTGGCATCGACCACGCCACCCTCGAGGAATCTCTGAAAGAAAGAGATGAACGGATTGCAGCTTTGGAGAAGCAAATGGAATACGATCGAGAGGCGACCAGACGCAGTTTTGAAACTTTCAGACAGGAGATGCTTGGTTTACGGATGAACCTACCTCCACACCCGTACTCGCCTCCAAACTCAAGCCCGTAGTTTTTTTTTTAATTTGGGATAATTTCAGAATTTAATATTTAAAATATTATTAATAATAATTATAATTTTAATTCTATTATTTCTATTAATTGTTTTATAAAAAAATAATTTTAAATCAATAACTAATTAACAGTTTTGGGAAAATAGTGGATTATTACTCCCCTCGAATTGGAAAAAAACCGTCGGTTTGGCGTCGGTTTTGGAAAATAAATCTGTCGGTTTGGCGTCGGTTTTTGAAAACAAATCCATCGGTTTTGTGTCAATTTTCGTACTCAGTTTACCATCGGTTTACTGTCGGTATAACCATTGGTTTACTGTCGGTTTCGCGTCGGTTTTGGAAAACAAATCTGTCGGTTTTGCGTCGGTTTGAGCAAAATATACCCGTCGGTTTTGTGTCGGTTTTCGTACTCGGTTTACCATTGGTTTACTGTCGGTATAACCATCAGTTTTCTGTCGGGAATATTTGACGGTTTACTGTCGGTTACTAGTCGGTTCAGGGTCGTCGGTTTTTCGGCGGTTATAACCTACGAAAAACCGACGGAATTGATTTACCGACAAGATAGAACCGACGGAAATTTTTCCTTGGTTTTCCGTCAATTAGGCCATTTTCCGACGCCTAACCGACGAATAGGCTTGTCGGTCACTGGATGTTTTCTTGTAGTGTTCACGC